AATTATTGTTGTTGCTACTGTATTGTGGTATTATTTAATATTTAACTGTATAGAATACAGCGACATTAAAATTAAAATTGTATATATATGAATATATAAATTATATATTCATATATAAATTATATATTCATATAATTATATATATATATTATATATTCAGTCAGAAGGTATAAGGTATACGTATAACATATCGTTGGAAAGCAGAGAATGGTAGCACAAATAATATCAAATAAATAAAGTTGTAGAAAGTGACGGAGTGTGACGAAAAAAATGTATATAATAAATTCAGAAAACTAACATTATTTAACGTAAATCACATGTTTCCAAGGAAATTAAATGAAATCTTCTTACTAAATGTGAACTTCTATTGCTTCCTCACTACCGAAGGTAGGAAAGCATTGTATTTTTTTGTTGAGTTTGAAAAAAAAAGTTTAAATCCATCGAATCAAGCCAATGCCATTGTCTAAAATACAATAGTATGTAATAATAATGAAATATCATTGTACTTGTGTGAAAAAAGAAGTGAAATAGAAAAATATTTCATGGATATGTTTATAACATTACATACATTTAGTGTAGTTTAATAACTCTAGATATGATATTATATTTAAATAATTAGGTATCTATTGGCCCTTTATTCCAACAAATCGTCGAGTAACCTTTTAGAAAATTAAATTAGTGAATAATTTGATGAATTTTTCCTTTGTGAAATTCTAACATTATCCACTTATAATCAGTGTGACAAATTTTGACCTATCTATGGCAAGGCAATGAAAATCTCTTAATTTTATTTTAGCAAACTTTACAATGGAAAATAACAGGTTAATAACTAATAATCCTACGATCCATGATCATTTATAGATTAAATATCCAGATATACTTTCAAACCTCTGTAGGCATATATGAGCCTTTCGATTGACAGAATTACTAACTCCAATTTCAACATTCTTTGTTATTAATTTTAGTGATGTTTCTAGTGGCAAAATTTATACCTTAATTCACAGTTCTATATTTCAACACTACAGTCACCTACTCTGGAATCAACTTACTCAGTGTCTGTATAGATATAACTTTTTCAACTAGTAATATCACTTTGAAAAACTATTATACTCACGACTATTACATATACTAACAGACAAACAGATTATTCCTGACCATCAATTCGGGTTTCGAAAATTACATTCAACAACACAACAATTACACAGGGTAACTGACTACATATCGACAGCACTAGAGCGAAAACTATATGCAACAGGAGTATTTCTGAATGTCGCCCAAGCTTTCGACAAAGTATGGCGTCAGGGGCTTCTCTTCAAACTTAAGACCATACTCCCATCAACCTACTACTTAATTCTTCACTCCTTTCTCTCAGACAGATTTTTCTCCGTTCGACACGGTTAAGGTCTATCCTCAATTCGACCTATTTTAGCTGGCGTACCTCAGGGGTCAATCTTAGCCCCACTACTGTACATCACATACACACACGACATTCCTCAAAGTATCCACACACTTACAGCAAACTACGCAGACGACACTGCTATCATTACTAGACACGATAATCCTACACAGGCATCACTTAACCTACATCACTTACAAAAAATAAACGATTGGTGTAAACTATGGAAAACTCAAATAAATTATCAAAAGCCACAACACATCACATTTACTCTAAGACTAGAAACATACCCTTCTGTATACTTAGACAACATACCGATTCCACAAACAGATAGAGTACAATACCTAGGCCTGACGTTTGACAGAAGAATGACATGGGGTCCACATGTAAAGAAAAAACGTGCATCATTAAATCACAGATTAAAACTATTGCATTCATTATTAAGACGGCATTCGAAATTAAAAGCAAGACAGAAATTAAATATGTATACATACCTATTAAAACCTCTCTGGACTTATGGGCTACAAATATATGGAATTGCAAAACCAACACACATAAAACGACTTCAAACTTTTCAGTCTAAAATACTACGACTAATTACCCAAGCACCCTGGTACGTGAATAATAACACTTTACACACTGACTTACACATGCCAACGATCAATGAACACATACGAACTTACTACAAACGATTTCATAATAAATTACATGGACACTCCAACCAGCTGATTAAAGAAATGGCCACGACTATTATGCCGGAGAACTCCAGAAGACGACTGAAAAGGGTCTGGATGAGGGACCTACTTACGTAATTGTATGTAAGTAAGTAAAAGCCATGGAAGGGATGCCGCTGGGTATTGCTTTTCCTCCTGCCTAACAACCTTTTTTTTTTTTTTTTTTTTTCTCATGACTGTGCCAGCACATCTGCTGATTGTCAATAGTTATAATTGACAGGTGCGGATAAATATATGTAAGTGCAAAAAAAAAGTAATATCACTAAAATGACATTACTCTAAAATGTTGAAATTGGCGTTATTCATTCTGTCAACTGAATGGCTCAGAGACTGAAGTTGTGTGGTTTATAAAAGCAGATGGATTAACTAGATTTTTATTGCCTACCGTCGATACAAGAAATAGATTTTTTGTAATTTAAATGATCTTAATTATTTGGTATCTCTAAGCTTTAAGCTTTAGCTGCGTTTAAAATGCACTTCAAAAATTTTATAATAGCCGAACATTACCAGAAAATAATTTCTATTCAAAGTAGAGCGGTTAGTGAAAGTTGTGTGTTGCGCGCACTAAGTTTTTTATTTATTTAATATATAACATTACATTCTGTCACATGGACAATGGGATTCTAATAGTGCTTGTTGATAGTTGTGATCTATAAAATGTTTTAGTTGTGTTTGTTGAAAGTTGTGATCTATATAATATTTCAGTTGTGTTTCCTACTCTTAGTTTTTTGCCGAGAAATACTTGCGTATTAAACTTTCATTCAAAATAAAAACGGTTCCTAGGACTTGGAAGCTTACATTCATTATTTGGAAATTTAAAACTTAACTAATTTTTCTGTTTTTGAAGGGAAACTTGATTTGATCATTTGAAGTATTATGTAATTGGCACTCTAGAAATATGAAATGTAATTATATTAATTAGACAATATTTTACGTCTATAATTAATTCAATTAATCGAAATATGCACAGTATATGCCTTTGGAGCCTATACTTAATATACACAAAAATATAATGTTGGAAAAAATATTCAAAAGTATTCAACATAAAAACATAAGCCAAAATATTTAGAATGACTTGATTCATAATGATCTTCACTTATATTTTTGAAAAAATGATACATACAAATACAATAAAATGCATTTGCATATAAATTCAGGCCTTACTCATGACACCTCGTTTAGATTTTTAAAATATTATTCGTTGGTCCAACATTCTCATTATTTCCTACATTGATAGACCATTCATCGACAAGCATGAATATGTATATTTGAAGGGAAAAAATCGTTACTGTTTATTATAATGTATGATGATCTAAAAATGTATTGAAAAGGTAAAGGAAGGAGAATAGTTCTTGTAAACTTTTTATTTATTAAAAAAATAAAATAAAAATAATGTTTTTTTTAAAATATTTTCACGTAAAGTGGTTATGGCTATGTTTTTCTTTCAGGTCTTCGTCATTGGAATCTATATCTATATATCCGTGACAAACTTAATGTTCCTTATTAAAATTTATGTTTAAAATAAAGCAACCTAGTGAGTGCTTCAATTGTTTTAATGAAAACGTAAATATTAGGGCTAGAAATATTAATTTTGTCTCTTATAAATACGCATAAATTCCCCGGTATAGAAAAGTGACATCTTACCTGCTCTAGCACTGTTATATCAACATTCACCTGATTAAATGAATAATATACGAAATTGTTATCGAAAAAAAAAAACTGAGTTAACAAAAAAAATTTCAGTTTGATGGTTTTAAAATAAAATAAGTTATTTACGAAAGCGGCTTGTATAAAAATATTAAAAGAAAATTTACAGAACCTAAGTAAATACGATATTTTTATATTTAGAAGAATTTAAGACGCTATGCTGTAGTAATGGCCAGCAGTTGACCAGATTCATGCCCCACTTAGCACAATACTTATCAGGAGCCGTTTTAATATAAATATATTTTTAGACCTTCCATGGTAACAAGATAATAACAGTAATATTGTCAATAAATCTCCAAATTGTTTTAAAATTAGCTAGAATCGATAATCGATTCGCTCACTACATGTAATTTGCTGAATGAAAATGTGGTTCATACCGGTGCAGTTTTTATAACTTATAAGCCTTTAATCATGTCAGTATTTATATATGAACTTAAATTTAACGATAATTATTATTATTATTATATACCAATAATAATTATTGCAAGTTGCGCCATCTAAATTGTTGAGAGGGTCACAATTTGACTGCGTTTTGAATTTTTGAGGGAGTCAAATTTCAACGGGGTTATGAATTTTTGAAATGAAAAGCTTCAAATCAAAAGACAAATGGAAGCATGGAATTGACTGCAGGATGTGTAATTGTTTATTAACTACGACTTTTTAAATTATACTTTTGTTTGCTGTTTTTAAGAAGAGGATAGCAAGGAAGGTTCATGCTCCATCGACCTTCGGGAGGGGATGGGCACCCCTGGCATGTAACCTCGCATTTTGAAGATTAATTAATTATGTCCGATAGAATCTTGCCTTTTAACTCCTTTCGTAGATTTGACAATAGAGGGCGGGGTGGCCGAACGGGCTTACGTGTGTGCACAGAACCGCCGTTGCCCGGCAACATGATATATGAGACAATGGATTTAAATAGTCACGAGTTTAGTCACGTCTTTTAAATGTTTAGTCACGTGTAGCCTAGCCTTAAAGGCGAGGGAGGGGACGACCAAAAAAAAAAAAAAAAGATATGACAATAGATTATTCGGTGATGACAGTTTTTGGAAGGATCTGTAAATTACAATATTTGTTGAATTATTTAGATAAATATTTTCATTTGTAAAATATTGTTAATAATGAGAGTTCTATTTAGTGAGTTAGATTGGAATTGTTTGCAGCACTGGCAATCGTCTACATCCTTTGCGTGCTGCAGTACGAGCTGCCGTGGAGCGAGGTGGATTGCCACTTGCTGATGTATTGCCACCTGGCAGGGACGCTGTGCCCCTGGATCGGCTCCTTCGTCTACCACCTCTTCATGAACATGGACAGGCCTCCGCCTTTCTACTACCGCCTGCTCCAGCTGGACATGCTCGGCATCTGGGTCTCTCAGAGCTTTGGTAAGTAACATAACAGCAGCAAAGAGGTATCAAAAGTCCTTGAGTTAAGGCTTCAGTAAACTCAAGGTACTTACTAAATGGCTTGAGTTAAGGCTTTAGGTAGTAACTCGAGATACTTATTTAGAGCATTGGGTTAAGGCTTCAGTTAGTTCAAGGTATTAAGAGCCTTCAGCTAAGGCTTCTGTAAACTCGAGGTATTAAGAGTCTAGAGACAGGGCTTCAGTAAACTCAAAGTCATTATTAAAAGTTTCGAGTTAAGGCTATAGTTAACTAGAGATACTTATTTAGAGCCTTGAGTTAAGGCTTCAGTTAACTCGAGGTATTAAGAGCCTTGAGTTAAGGCTACAGTAAACTCAAGGTATTAAGAGCCTAGAGATAGGGCTTCAGTAAACTCAAAGTAATTATTATAAGTCTCGAGTTAAGGCTTTAGTTAACTAGAGATACTTATTCAGAGCCTTGAGTTAAGGCTTCAGTTAACTTGAGGTATTAAGAGCCCTGGGCTAAGGCTTCAGTAAACTCAAGGTATTAAGAGCCTTGAGCTAAGGCTTCAGTAAACTCAAGATATTTATTAACACTATTACTTTCAATATTATTTGTTGAAAATCGTGTCAAAGCAAAGTAATAAGATATCCATGTTAATCAATAATACTTACTAACCATTAACCACAATTAATTTCACTGGAATTCGTTTTTTAATTTTTTCCACAATCTAGGTTTTTTACTTTCACTTATTTATATATGAATTTTTTTTGTAATAATATAAAAAACTCAATATAGTCTATAAAAGAATTTGATAATTGACTAAAGGGGAAAAGAGAAAAAAATATTTTTTTAGGTTGAAAATGAATTTGCAGAAAGGGGAAAGTATATGTGTAATCGTTGGAAAGCTGAGAATTTTAGAAAACAAAATATCTAACATAAATAGTCGTAGAAGATAAGAGTAATGAAAAAATTATAAATAATAATTTCTGAAAAATAATATTATTTAACAGAAACCAAATGTTCCCATGAAAACTAAATGTAATTTTTTTTTAAATTATTTTTTAGTTTGCAATAAAATCATTTATAATCCACAGATTCAAGGCAATGGAATTGTTAAAAAACTCAGAAAATTATACCCCAACGAGAATAAAAAATCATTTTTTCTATGCTACTTATAAATTTGAAACAAATACAGAACCACAAGGTCCAACATAAAGGAGAATTAAAAATTTTGACAATCAAAAAATATATTGCCTCGAATTCTAATTTAAATAATAATTAATAAATAAAAACTGCCAAAACATGGGCATAAGAAAAATAAATATAAATTTATTTTGTGTATTTGCAATGACTGCATTCTCCAACCAACTTCTCTTAGAATAATCAAGTGAAAAATGTTTACATAATAAATCAAAAATTTATCCAATTAATTTTCTTTTTTAAATTAATTTTTCTTGTATCCATAACACAATTCAAATCAGACTTTTTTTACCTTAAATTTAATAGAAAATAATTAGACCATATGAGAAAAAATACAATAAATTGCATTAAATAAACTTTTGTTTACTGAATTTTAGTATTGCATCTATACTTCTGTCCAGCAGTTTCAATAAACTGAAGTTTTTTTTTTTTTTTTTTTTTTTTTTTTTTTATAATTTATCTGTTTATTGAGTAATAATACATAATAAACTGAAATAGAATAGTAATGTTAAGGAAAGTCATCAGCATATAATATCGTTATAATTTAATATAAAGCCATCATAATACATACTCTTTGAGTTTATGTTCTGTTCATATGTAATATGTTTCAGTTCATGTTTTCAAATTGTGTTAACTTTTAATTTAAAATGAACTATCAATTAGCTATGCTTCATTCAATACCCAATAGTTGTATTAAATTGATGTTAATGTTGTATTTAACTTTGAATCAGTAACTGCTTGTGTTGGCTCTTAGTGCTTAATAAACTGTTGTTTTTTTTCCTCTAATATTTTATAACATAAAATGTTTATAAATAATAATTTAATGCACTGATTTTATTATACTTCTCATGAGTAATGAATGATACATGGATACATGGGTGCAGAAATTAATTACGAATCAGTTATTTCAGAAAAAAAATATATATGATATTGTCAAGACTTTGAAACTACGTAAAAAAATATCCTATACTATAATTTTCTATGATAAAAATTAACAAAAAACAGCCTAAACAATCAATCTTTCACTATTTAAGTATGTAATATGTTTTCAAGCATTAAATAAGGTCTTTTTGAACTATGTAAGCTATATAAGTCAACTCAAAACCCATAAATTACACATGTAATTTGTGCTGTTTTTTGAGTGAGTTTGGTTTGATGGTGTTGTTGTTATAAAGGAGCTTTGACAATGGTGTGCGCATCGGTCGCCTGCCTCCCGAAGCTAGTCCAGTGGATCGTCATTGCTTCCTACAGCCTCCTCTCTCTTCTCGGGCTCTTCAAGGTTTGAAAACCATCTTTCATTAGCTTTATAATTAATTATTAAACATCCTTAAAGGTCAATGTGAAAAAAGAAGCAAACTGCTACTGAGTATGGACAGAGCAGCTCTTAATAAGCTTCCAGCAATCTATACAGGTCACTGTAAGCTGAATTACCATACGTTCAATCTCAGAGTAACAATGAATCCGCTATGCAGATTCTGTCAGGAGGAGAATGAAACAGCCTTTCACATTGTTTGTAGATGTGATAGATTCACAAGGCTGAGACTGGAACTATTTGGGGAGGAACGAATGGATCTCCCCAGTAGATATAAGACGGTCAATACAACCAGCCTACTAAGATATCCGGAAGCGACTAAAGTAACGTTTTAATTAAACGAATGACTGAAATTGGCGCACAATGGATCCAATAGGTGTCGACGTGCCTTAAGCCAACATTAAAAAAAAATAAATAAAAAAAAAAAAACATCCTGTTTGAAAACCATTTTTCATTAGGTGATAAATATTCAGGATGCTAGTAATAAATATTCAGTGCTCAAACCATGCCCTGATGATGACCCACATGCTTGGGTTGAATCGTTGGCACAAATAAAAATTTTTATAATGACTGCGCCCTGAATATTTATCACCCATGATATGTAGAATAGTCGACTAGCTTCCTTCAATACATCTTTCATTAGCTTTATAATTAATGATTAAACGTACTGTATGGATTGCTTTTGTACTGCATCATTTTTTTAATACTACATACACATTTATAAACAGTCAGAAATTATATATATACCTGATGGTTTTTATAAAAGTCACTGCAGATAAACTAGTATAATAATGGTGATACAGTTAACTGCTGAAGGTGGTAAGATAGTGGGCAGAAGTTGAACACTCATGAATTTTGACTGTGTGATGGCATTTCAGCCTACGTTTTATTCCTTCTTTAGTACCAAGAGAAAAAAGATCTGAGAATCGGTATCAAATCAAAACAAATATAGAAGGCCTATATCCTAAACCACAAAACTTCAGCGGACAGAAAAAATTCCATCCCAACTTTTTCTTGGTTTAAATAAACTTAAATAATTATTTTATCTGAGATACAATAAATTTAAGAGCCATTAGGGTAAAATAACAAGAGAAACTGAAAGGATTTGTTTCCTTTGCTTTCTTTTTTTTTTCTTTTTAAAATAAGATAATAAACTTTGGCAGGCAATGGCAGCTAGTTCCCCTTGGAAGAGAAGGATGTGCTTCGCTCTTCCTTTCCTAATGAGAAACTGCCTCGTTTTATTAAGACTGACCAAATACGGTGGCGGGAATCCAGATGGATTGCTCTATGTCATACTACAGGTAGGAGAAATCAGTAATTAAAATGCATGTGTTTCAGTATAAATGAAATAGATTGATAAAGTGGCAATGTATTTTTTTTGCTCCATGAAAAAATCTGTATTATTATTAATTAAATATGACCAACCTATAGATGAACAATAATTACTAAAAAAAAAGTACTATTTTGTTAATTTCTTCTTGAAATACTTCTTTTAAGAAATTGTGTTTCTGTCCAAATTTCTCAATTTTATATTGAAAATAAATCATGGTCGTTTGATATTTTCAAATGAAATGAATGAAAAATTAAAACAATGAGAATAGACTAACATGTTCTGATGAATCCAAGAGAGTAGCCTCCGCATTGATAAGAGACACTAGGACAAGGAAAGAAATATCTCTTGTTGAATATCCACCAAGTTGGAAGCAGTGACGGTATGGATTTACTATGATGTAATATCAACAGGAAGTAACTTACACAATAAATGATCAATACCAATGGCTCCCTACTGATGATATTGGAAGCGTATGGTTACTCCTCCGTTAATAACCAAAGAATTTTAGTGACTTATGGGAAATAAACTCATGAAGTAAGGAAAGCAGCTAATGAGTGAGTTATAACTGACTCATTTTATGTGAGTGATCATTGATTTAGGGAATAAGTGAACGAAGATGATTGCTGAAGAAAGGAGAGAGCTTTCAAAAATGAAGTGAGCAATGAGGTGATGGACTACTCAACTTGCTGATGGCAGAGCAGGAAAGCTTTGGTCGTTGACATTTCAAAAGGAAGGACTGCTCGGGCCACCAGGCAGCCTGCCCCTCTCCTTGTTTTCATCAGCTATCTAGCTTGATGAAAAAAATAGAGAACGCAATATTAAAGGATACCCATGAGGTATTGAAATTTTTCTAGCCATGGCTGAATTTGATTGAGGTGGCATGGATCCCTACCAAAATTGAATTTGAAAAATCTTGGGTTGGGGAGCGTATCAGCAACATTTCAAATCGACATAAAGTTATAAAAATTCACACCAATTGTTTCACAACTCTTCAAAGAAGTGCTAGATATTTTCTGCTAAAATTACAACCATTAGTGGAAGATTGAAAATATTAAGAATACCTTAATGATATTCAAGATTTAAGATATTTTAATATCTTCATAACATATTATCAATGGAAGATATCAACACTACTGATTTGTTGATATAGAGAATTCAACATAAAAAAAGCTCTTTTTGGAAGCCAGGAGCCAGGGTTAAATTTCTCAATAAGATTTAATTGAATGCACAGGAAGAACCTTCGATGCGAGTAATATAGCTATACAATTTCAAATATTACATATCAATTTTTAGACATATAAACATTGATATATAAAAAATAGCATAATGTTAATTACAAAGAAATTGATTGATTAATTAATAAAGAAAAAATGCCACGCCTGTGTGTGAACTCTCACATTCAAGATCTATTCTGTTTCTCCTCAATACATTCACAGTATTTCATATCAGAGAAAGATATTTTTTTATAAAAAAATATATAAAATTTATCAAAACAACCATAGTTAGTAAAGTTATATACTTTATAAGAGCTATGTTGAACTGAAGTAACAGTTTAATTAATAAATAATGCTTTCCGAACGGGAAATATCCTTTTAGTCAAACAGTTAAGCAATAAGATTTAGCTGCCCGTAAAGTTACACGAATCCAATAAAATATTTGCTGGGTACGGGGGCGACATATTGGGGTACGGACACGGAGTACCGACAAATTGGGTTGGAGCGCTAGAGCAGGATTCTGGTTACCCATTTATAAAGACTGGAATGTAGGTGCCAGGCCTCGATAACAACTTCATCACTACTATGGCTTTATTAGCAACAGAGAAATTAAATCGTCTTCACAAAACGTTTTAGAAATTATTTATTATTTAAATTATTTCAACGTATTAAAAATTATCAAAAAGTTTCTTTTGATATTATCATTATTATTATAATTGAAGAGAAGAATGGTTGGGGTGATCTGTCAAAAAAATGAATTATAAAAATAAATATACTTATTTATTTTTATAATTTGTTTTTTTTACCCATCACCCCAATCATTCTTCTCTTCGTCTATTCTCTACACAGTCAACCATCAATAAAAGTTATTATTATAATTGATTGTTATCCGATGTGCTTAAGAGATCACAGGGCTATTTTCATTTCTTGGTCTTTTCAATGAATTTGTAAGTTATAAGCTATAATAATCATTAAAAGCTATATAAATATAAATACTGATCTTTTGATTTTATTTATAATACCTCAACAATACCAATATGTGATGAGCAAAGCCGGATTTTTATGCAGTGAAAACCAGCAGAATATTCTATATAATATGCAATAAAAATAAAATAAAATAATGATCAAATATGCAACAACACAATCAGTAAATATGCTAGTACTTGAAATATACTAATGTATGCCAACAATAAGGAACTAACAAAAAAGTCTCCCAAGTAAGGTCAGCACAACTTCCTCATCGTTTTCATTAATTTTTTGTATGAGAATAAAACCGCCAAGAGAATCCATTTTCGGAAATACAGTAATCCCTTTATATTCGTGGGTTTAATATCCACGAATTTGGTCATCAGATAATACTAAATGCGGAAGTTATACATTTGCAAATCGCATATTTGATGGATCTTAATTTTTAAAAAATCCCATTATATACTGAACATGTATATCGCTATTGTTAGTGCAAAAGGTCAGGTCATATGTAAAAATTGAGTGTTTTACAGGAGAACATAAAATTAATTATTTCTTTATGATTTATTAGTGTATTTTCATATTTTGTTTTAGTAGACTACCTATATCAGTTGCAAACTACGAAATGTCACCTTTAGCGATATATACTCAATAGCTTTCACAAGTAATATGAATAGAACAAAAAATCCATCGGAAAAATTCAACTTTGTGGAGTTAACGAGACTAATATTTTCCTTCAGTCAGACTAAAGCTATTTTAGGAATATTTCTAGTAGGAAAATTTATATCTGTACAGACAGTGAGCAAGTTTCCAAAGTAGGTGATTGCAGTGTTTAAATATAGAACTGTGAAGAAAAGTAAACATTTTCCCACTAGAAATATCACTAAAATTAATAATCAAAAATGTTGAAATTGGAGTCAATCATTCTGTCAACTGAAAGGCTCATATATAGATGTGAATAGCAGTCATAATTTATAAGATAATAACTAAAATAATTATAAATAGAAAAAGAAGGATATAAACAACAATAAGAATAATAGCGTGACTAGAAGGAATATACGTTTATAAAAAACAGAGCGTATGTGATAACCTTAGGATTACATATTGTATATCAATAGTTGGAGTGGCTAGTATAGTAATAGTGATAGACACAAGCCTAGAAGAATATATTCTAATAATGAAATGCAATAATATAAATAATAATTAAGTTCAATGATAAAATTATAATAAATCAAAGTAATTAATAATTAATAAGGTCTAATAATATATAGAGAAATATGATACCCTAATAAATAATAGAAGGGAAAGCATTAATATAGAAGAGATGCAAATAAATTAAAAACTAGATATGATCTAACAGTAAATTAATTTTAACATAGATTTATAGACTACTGATTCTGGACAAAGAAAAATACATAATACAATAAGGTAAGGAAAAAGAAAAATTAAGTATTCGATCCATAGGATTAGAGGTAGCTAAAACTTAAAAATGAGAAAGTATCTTATTACGGTAACAGCACCAGTAGCTGACATGTTTAAGGAAATTATGTTGAATTTTCAGGTGAAACATTTTTGAGTTATGATAATAATGTATTTTTCTTATAGCACCCATTTTGCAAACCAACAACTGAAATGGACGAAACGTCCATCTAAAGTAATAGAAAAGTTTTGTTACACCTATAGCTGGAGTAGGGATGTTGCTATAGTTGACAGAGATGTAGGCAAGGCAATCACACAAAATAATTATTAAACTATGATTCCGGTTTTTTGGTCAAAATTAGGCTATTATCTAACTTAATTTTTTTTTTTAAATTCGCCCTATACCCCATGTTTCAGAGATGCTGATTACAATATCTGAAGTAATCCCTTCTATATTTGAAGATAATAGAAAGTGCGGAATATACACCTGAAGCAATAGCTGGAAACAAAATAGTCAGGAACTAATTGTCTTCTGTGTTTACTACTTGGGTACATTCTCATTTCTATTTTCAGCTAAAACTTTGCTTCCCTTAGGATTAAGAAAAAACACGATGTGCATCGTCCAGTACATATAACATACTTTTTTCCTCAACTGAATATTTAAATACCATATCTTCAAATTTTCCAGAGTCACAGAACCTCGGAAAGAAGTAAGGTTTTCAAGAGCCCTGAAGCATAACCCCGTTTAATCAAAAGATTAAACCAGGGCGGTCATCTTTGAAGGAATCTTATCGATCTGAATTTTTCAGTTGTTGAACACTGTCAAAAACCTGATTATTAGCAACAGGAAAACCTATTTTTTTCATTTATTTAATCAACATTACTAATAAATTTCTTCTTCACGAGAAAAATTGTGGGATGGTCCCATTTCACGCTAAATTGTGTATTTTCCTTTGACTTTATAAGAAAGTGTTATATGCGGGATTCCATTTTTAAATGAGGCAGCCAGTACAGACATTCCCCTGCAAAAATTATCTAGGGTTTTTCCCATGTCTTTCTAGGCATATTTTATTTTTTTTTTTTTAATATTGGAGCCTTAGTAAAAGGGATGGAAGAAAGAAAACCACAAATCAAATGTTGTTCCAATAGCTGACATAACTTGTTTCAGTACTGGACTCCCCCTGTCGGCTATTGGAATATATAATCTACATTGAAAATAGTGTTCAGAGGTAAGCCTATATAACGAAATAGAATAGCTAGATGAAGAAATGATGTTTTTAAAGAAGTCTTGCAATGGCCCCTAGAGTAGCTGACAGGTCTGTCAGGTACTCTAGAAAGAGCTGATTTTTGGTTCCAGTAGCTTACACCCAATATATTTTTCGATTCCTTCAAAAACTTAAAACATAATCTATAAAGACTATAAGAAGGAATAAAATATTAATTTGAGAATAATACAAAGTAACTAAAAGAGAAGAAGACAAACAGTACCTTGGTAGATGGTATCCTTATTGTAGCTTAGATATCCTCCCATTTCAGCAGGTGGCTGTTCCTGAGACACTAAATTAACTCTGAGGAACCTTCCTGATTTAACGTTTGTTATTTAAATTACGTTTCCCGCTAAGACTAAAGCAGAATATACCAGTATTCAGGAGGACTATACAGAAGGCACTAATATTTCAAATAGTTGTCTAGGAGTTCTTGAAATCTTACTATTCAAATTTTTTGAAGATAATGTCAGGCACTGGTGCTTTTACCTTAAAGATTTTTTTTTTAGTTCTCTTTAGTGTTAGGTCCGCTTAAAATATCTTCTGGTATTCCATTGAACTGATTAGTCCGAGAGCCCGTGAGAAAAAATCTACATTGTTTGATTAACACTTTAAAACCATTTTTTTTTTTTAATATTTTTAACATTTATATGAAAAAAATATCTGCTAGCCTAATCTTGCTATCTGTTAAAATGGCGGCTAATTTAAACAATATTAGACCAGTATCATGAGGATCAAAACGGAAAATTTACTTTGAAAAATGTGGTGAAAGTGTTTTCTTTAACTTGTATATATATACAAGTTAAAGAAAACACTTTCACCACTTCGGTTCAGACATGTAAAAAATAAAATTGCTAAAGCGGGCCACCAAGGAAACACTTTTTTCCAACAAAAAAACATATACGATCTTTTTTTAATTGTTCACCTATAACTCCTAAACGGTACATCGAAGCGAAAAACGTACTCTTTAAGAAATTTAAGAACGTTAAATTGTGCGTCGAGTGAATACCTAAACTTGATAATTTTTTTAAGTGGTATGGTCGATAATCATGGTAAACCAAACCTAGTTTTTACCAAATTCGTAAAAAACTTATACAAATTACTATAAATGGCACTGCAGCTTAGAAATGAGTTCTCTAAGAGAAAAAAACTCATAGAATAAAAGTTGTAGAGCATCAAATTCCGCGTCCACTAACGGTTTTAATGTAGATCGATTATAACTCTCGAATCTGGATTTGTAATACGATAATACGATTGTAAATTACGAAAGTGTATGTTATTCTGAGTAAAAAGAACTTTGTCTGTCTTTCCAGAGGCGCTGTTTTCAAAAATGGCATCTGATCTAAAGAATATTAGACCAGTAACATAAGGATCGAAACGGAAAATTCATTTAAAAAAAAAAAAAATTTAACATGTATATATGGGTTTAGGTGTGTAAAAAACAAAATTGCTAACGCAGACCACCTAGGGAAAACTTTTTACAGCCAAAAAAGTCAGATTTTTTTTTTTTTTCACCTATAACTCCTAAAAGATGCATCAAAGCGAAAACTGTACTCGTTAATAAATTACAGAAGGTTAAATTGTACGTCGAACGAGTACATAAACTTAATAATTTGGTTATGTGGTTACGTATAAAACCCAGTCAATCAACGCAGATTTTTACCGAAGTAGTCAACAACTGAGACAAATTACTGTAAATGGTCCTGTAACTTGGAAATGAGTCTCCTAAGGGTAAAAACTCATAGAATCAAAGTTGTAGAGCATCAAATTTTGTATCTATTAAGTACAAACTATATTAATGTAGATCACTTACTCCAAACAAAATCGTTAATCTCCCGATGGTAAGAAATTGGTAATGAAGATATTCATGATTTTCAATATTTCAACTGTATGGTGTCTATTCTACTGATTTATTCTTGTTTAGAGTCTGTTACATGCAGTACAAATCTATTTTCCACCTCTCAGCAGCGAAGGATTATGATAAACAATGTGTCGATAGATACCAAATTTCATAAAGAAATAATGAATCCTGAGATATATAATTGGCCTACAATAAAAATTTCAGTACTCAGACCCATATTGTTCCAAATATAATGAAACATATACAATTTTCTTGACATGTGTTTCATTTCCTCCTCTTTAATTCTATATTTATTGTTATGAAGAGGAGAGAAGGGGGTTGGTGCTGATGGTGTTATTGCCACAGGGCACAGAGGCCATCACTGGTCGGTAATGTGAGGGTTAATCCAAGAGTTAAATTTTGAATGAATTAATGATGCAGTTACTATTTTGATTGAAAATATTAATAAAAATTATCACTAGTTTTACGCCTTAAAGCTCAAACAAACAAAAAATATCACAAGTAAATAAAATAAGAAACACACTTAAATTGAAACTGAGTGTTCTGTCTAAAAGTTTAAAAGGAATAAGAAGGGGAAATGAAAAGAAAATCTACATTTTAAGAAGTCAATAACTAAGAGTAGCAATATTTAATTGATTGTTTAATGAAAATTAGTCCACATTGGTAATCTGGATTTTCATCTTCAATTATTTTTTATTGAAACCATCAAATATGCAAAAATATTCAATATTAAAGTCAATTAAATATCATCCGAGTACACTGATTTGTATAGTTACACAAATCTCTTTTTTTCTATTGTTATTTTGACTTAGTTGAGAAATTGAAATGAGAGAAATTATCATATTTTCAATGGCCTTATAAAAAAATGGGTGGTAATGTGTTGTTAATAGTAAAGATTGAGTACTTGTGTTTATATTTCTTGCTGGAAAATCCCGAATGAGTCCATAAGGAATAGAGAACACATTCATCAGCAGGATTCAGATTTAAAGCTATGCAAAAGAACTATCGAGGCAAGTAGAATCTTAATATACTTGCAGAATATTGTTGGGCCGCGAAGAGGAGTGGGGGGTGTTCCAAGCTCAAAATACGTAGAGCAGAAAATAACATTTCTTACTTATTTGAATACTGAATATTAAACAATGTTGAAAGTATTAAAATGTTTGGAATTATCTATATCTACTTTTCATAAAGGTGCTTTCCATTGGCAACTAATTAAAGTAATTCTATTGCAAATACCTATAAAAACAACATTTAGTAAATAGTTAATTTATAATCAACAATGTATTACAATTACAGATGAAATCATTGCCAATGTATGCATGTGTGTGTGTGTGTGTGTATTCTATACCATCTGAATAAAGAAATAAAAATGATTAAAAATAGTAAACTGAATATTGATTTTTTTTGCCTAGGACTTGATATCACTGATAGGAGGTGCTATCGGGGCGCTGAACGTTCCCGAACGATGGATGCCAGGCTCTTTGGATTACTGCTTCAATTCTCACAACATAATGCACGTTCTGGTCGTCTTGGCAGTCTATTACATGAATCTGTCAACTATCTCTGACCTATTGTGGCTTAAAAACGGGCAATGTCAAAGAAGTGTAGAATTCAATTCAACACCACATCTCCATCAAGAATTATGATACATCAAGACTGCACCATAAAGGGGTTAAATATAATACATACAACAGAGTTATACAAAGGAAATTAACTTTTGTTGTTATGGAGGATTGAAACTGTGGTGATTTTCAATGCAGTATAAGCAAGTCTGTTCTAATGCTACGAGACAGAAATAACATTAGCACAAATTGTACTCTCATCAATTTGTTTTTAATCAATTTACAACAAATATTTTAGAGCAGTACAAAGGAACATTTTCTTCCTTAAGAATATAGTTTTTAAAGACTTTCTGCAAGTCATTTATATACTAATGGTATCCATTAAAATTAAAAGATTCCACCACCAAAATACTTTTGATGTGCTATATGAGATATTGCACAACGGGACACATGGAAGGAAAAGTTGGAGTTGAGAAAGATAAAATATCTTTCGGTTTTATCTTGGCTAAATTTCATTTTAATAATTCTTCCTTTTATAAGTTTAAATTTTCTTTGATTCACCATTATGCATATAGTCTCTTTATTAGCGCTACAAACAATCTAGAGGCTTTTAAACTTCACTTCACTAATTTATCCCCATTAAAAAGTAGCTAATAATAAAACAAATATTTAAAAAATGTATAATCAAGTACCTCAAATAATGAATGTTGGTATTTTGTTTAGTAAATAACATAGAAATGAATGTTTGGAAAATGAGATGGGTCCTCCTACTTAACCTAAACTTTAGTTTAATGTTACTCAATCAAAAAAAAAAAAAAGAATGAAAAAGATTCGTCTGTCCAATCATTTTTCGAAAAGTTAGAATAACTGAGAAGTAATTAGACGCTAGGAAGAAATGATGGTGAGTCGAGGGAGCTGAGGTAGACTCCTCTTGGCATCATCCTCTGAGCAAATGGGGCATGAGGAGTGAGGCAGCGTTTGGAGGGGGAAGGGGGAAGGGAGCCATAATACATAATGTTTAATAAATCAGCTTTATTAGACTCAATAAAGAAAAATTATTTTATTAATTTTACATGGAAGGAGGTATAGCAATAAAGCATAGATGTACAAGGTATAGTATCACGATCTGCTCAGAAAAATTGGCAAATCTACTTTATTTGAGCGAGCTCACACCTCACTATTAGAAAAAGAAAATTAAATTCACTATTACCTCTATTAATAGATAATGCTCTGTATTTAAATTATTAATCCAGTAGGTTTTAAAAACATTTTTAAGGTAACAACAGTAGAATAGAATTCCCATGGACAGATAAATGAGCTATCAACCAAAGATTGAAAACATTTGACCCTTCTAAAAGATAACAATTATTAATTGTTTTAGAAATTCTTTTATGTTATTTATAATACAAATAAAAATATTTGTAGATAGATACTGAAGATTATCTTTCGAACAAATGAATATATCTATAAATTGAATTTTATTTTTGACTTTGTTCCTTCGATAGTAGCTATCTTCTATAGTTAAGACAGATTTTAATTCAGCAGAGTTTAGCAGTTATAAAATAGAAATATTTTGAAAATAATAGAAGATTATAGATAATTTTTCTTTAAGCTATTAATTCATTTCCAATGTATGATTGGTAACAAAAACGTTAAAAATATGTTAAATCAGTGAACAAAAACAGAACTATTTCATTCTGTACGCAATAAGAGTATAAGTGAAATATGTAAGGTAATGAGTTTAATAAATAATTTCCAATTCCAAAAAACATTCCAAAAGCGTCAACTTTAAGTAAAAGAATACCATATAAAATATTTTTGCTCACTGATTTAGTTATTTTATAGATTTTCTAACAAATTTAGTATGGAGCTATTTTGTTATAGTACATTTTAATTACTGCACAATTATTCTGGTTATATAATTTATCATTTATGTTATATAGTTATATAATAGTATGTTAGTAATGTTGTTGAAATTCCATAGAAATTTTTATACTTGTACTTGATACATTTTAAATAAAACCATTCTTCCTATTATTTATTTGTTTTATGTTTGCTGTTCAAAGGTTCATTTTTAGAAAATTGGAGTACAACATGGTACATGTGTTAACTTATTAACACTAGATTGTTGAAGAGAAACTGAACGAGGCGTTCAGTCAAACGAAGAACAAAGTAAAAATAAATAAATTATATTAATATAAATATATATCATCATCATCTGATGGCTCTCTAGTCCTTGTAGAACCTTGGCCTTCAACTATCTGCCTCTAAATCGATCTGTCTTCGGCCGCACTTCTCCATCTGCCTACAACCAGGCTGCTTAGATCATTTTAGATGTCTTTCAGCCAGCGAATATATTATATAATATAATATATATCAAATCTTCAAAATTCTTTAAGGGTATATATTAATAATAATATTTATAATATCGAGGAAAACAGTATATTTTACCATTATACATTTATTTAATGCTTTAATTCATTTAAATTTCTTGACATTTCAGGCAATTTTGCCCATTTTGAAGTCGAATAATTATATTTATAATATAAATCCACAATAATTATAAATATATATGTAAGAAATATAACAGGACATAAAAGAACAATAAACGAAAAATCCAAAATGTTTTCCTTGATATTATAAATTGTATTCACTGTTTTTGGCAATAATAACTTCCAATTAACAACAATTGATGTATTTATGGTATTTCCAAGTTTACGTCTCGGGAAAATTTATTCCCATCTTCAAAACTACAATCCCATGTTTCTTTGTCGATTTGTGTCTTAAGTCTAATGTGCTGCATTGTCAGGTTCTAAATTCATGTTTTAACAAATTATAGTATTTAATATCCAGAGCATCATCATGCCTTCAGACCAATTATTGGGTATCTGCCCAGGGATTGTAAACTTGGAAATACAACAAATAAATCAATTGTTGTTAATTGGGAGTTATTATTGCCAAAAACAGAGAATTACATACAACTTCCCAGCAAAAAGAAAAAAAGAAGAATATAAATTTTATTTAATATAAAATATATATTAATATAAATATAATTTATTTATTTTTACATTTTCGTTTGTTTGAATGAACTCTCCAATCAACTTCTCTTCTATATAATTACGACAGTAAACAATAAGAAGACACGTGGGACATTTGAAATAACTCTGGTAATTCCGCAGCTATCAAACCAAAATAAAAACTTGAATAATGATGAGTATTTTTCTAACATTTCTTTTCATCAAGAAATCACCTTAAGAGAAAGACTTCACCCAATACAACTGATGAGGTAGCTATATCGACTTGCTTGGCAGATGATGTTTAATATTAATTTTCAAAAATGACCAAGTCGTTTTTGCAATTTTTGATGTTGAAGATCACAAAAGGGACTGAGTGAAAAACTGAGATTTGGTTACAACATATCCTACCAACAATTTCACAGACATCAAAACAAAGCACAATCTAAAATTATGTTCTGTTCTATTTTTTTCCCCTCACAATACATTCCATAATTAATGAGTAAAGTTGTTAAAAAAATTGACTACTATATACCATATATAAGTGCCTCAATTCAAACTTGATTTCAATCCAAGTTTGTTTGTTCCAAGTTTTCATGTATTGAATTCTCTAAGAATGAATAAAATCTAATTATGTTATTGTAAGTTTAAAGATTCCATTTAAATTTAGTTTTACTTTCACTTGACGTGTAAATAGTTTTTATTCTGGCAAAACAAATTTAATAACAAATAAACATTGGATAGAAAAAACTTTTAAATAATTACTGTAGAATTTGTACAATGGTAAACTTAAATTCAACTCAGTTCAACAATTTGATATTTTAGAATGCTGATTTATTGCCCCGATCCCTGATAGGAAATTATCCTCACCCTCTTCTCTCTCCCATGTTACTTCTTTTCTCCTTCCATAGGATTAACTTGCTCAGCCCATGCTCTGTATAATACCTCTTACACCTTCCCAGGTTGTCCCTGGGAGTGTGAGATAACCTATTCTTACAGCACCTTTGGATTGCCTATCAGGTTGCGGAAACCTGAATGTTATAGGGGTTGTATCCCTATAATTCTTAGTGGTCTTATCCTAAATAAGTTATTCAGCTCATCCAATCTAAGCTCATTCATCCCATTCTCTTCTTTTAAGAGTAATTAGGTTTTGTTAATTGAGAGATCAAGGAAGTTAGACCAATAGATTAAAATAAACCAAAATGACACATTTGGGGTAAGGAATATTCTCATATGATACATGAGACGTCATTGTATACCCAAAAAGTTACTATGTGGTCTGCATTGTGGTCAGAAGGTGAAATTAGGCCTAACTTCTTTGTGAGCACTATAGGCGCATGATAACCGATTATTTCGGCACGAAATTATTAGGATATTTTTTGAGGAAGATATGTGGTTTCAGATAGAAGGACTAACTTGCTACACATCGTGGGCAACATTCCATGTTTTGCGTGAAAAGTTCAAAATTCACATTATTTTAAATCACAGTGACATCCCTGGCCGCGAAGATGGTGCGATTTGATGACAATAGATTTCATTCAGTGAGGTTTTGTTAAGTTGTGTCTTTATCAACAAACCTACAATGTTGGGGCACCTAAAAACTAACATACCCCAACTTATAGCCGAGATAACCCCCCGAAACTTGGGAAAAAGTCATATAAAATTACCTCAAATAAATCAACTGCTGCAGAATGTCCAGAGAAGGAAATTAGCCTGACTTTATTTTACATATTTAATCAATTATAGTTAATATTCGATTGATGAAAATATAAATAAGACATAGTTATATTTTGTAGTCCATTAATCTGGCCATGAAAAAAGGGCTTTCAGTTGATGCATAAAGTAGCGGTAAAAGGTTTCGTCGGGTTTTTCTTGTACAGGATGTGACCGAGATGTAAAATCCAAATTTTCAACCTTGGCGCCCCCTTCTCCACCCCACTCTGATCACTTTGAATATTCCCAAAACTGCTATAGTTTTGCACTTCCCATGAAGGAGGTGAATTATCACGTGATTAACAAGATCCTGGTCCTTACAATTGGAACACCTTTAATTTACATTTACTGTCTATACTTTCATTAACACTTTTCGTATACACTTAAAGTAAATGTTTGTTAAATAAATTTTTTATTTCAATTTCAGTAACCTGGTTGCGAAATGTGAAACCCCCTCCAACCAAACCTTCACCCGCTTTCGAATGTTAAATCAAATACAAGTTTATTTCACTCACTTGTATCCGACAGATTATTGAAGATGTAAAGACAATTGCTATGATATAACATCAAAAAGATTATAGCTTGTAAATTTTAAAGGTTGTAAATTTTGAAAATCTGTAGTTTGAAATATATTAGGTTTACTGTGTCTATTCTGTTCTCAAAGTTTAGTAAATTTAATCTAGTTTGGAAATGTATAGAATGTTTAAGGTCAAAGTTGAAAGGAAAAAAAGTGTGAAAATATAGCAGTTCTGGGAATATTAAAAACTAACCCAGGAATCCACTGAAGTCGAAAATTTCTATTTTGCATTTCAGTCACACCCCAAACAAAAAAAAAAAGAAACCTTCCATCACTTGATGCCTCCATGTACAAGGTTATTAGGCTATATTTTTTAAAAATTAAAGTAAGGAAACTCAAATTGGATCACCCTTTAGAATTTAAACAAATAAAAATAATGAAATGAGCCCTTACTCAGCCACGAGTTGATAAATTAATGTGAAAATGTATAATCATAAATAAATGAATCAATTACCAAAATGAAAGAACTAATTTAATTAAAGAAACTGAACGTGAATAGAGTGAACTATGATTAAGGCCACAATGCAACTGCCAGTAATGCACTTAACTTAATTTTGATTCTATCTATGTTATTTTTCAGTTTGATTTATTTCCTTTGATTGCTTCCTTATTTTTAAACTAGTTTACAAAATAGAAAAATCATGTTAGCAAGTTAGAGCGAGGTACCTGTTTCAGAGGCTACATAGGCAATATTAACCTTCTTATAAGTATATAATCGATAAGATAATGGATTTATTTTATTCGAGTACTCTAGGAGTCATTTGACTAAAAACAACGATTTCCAATGACTGATTGTTTTTCAAGTAGAATTGCCTATTTTTGAATGCTGCCTTTTCAATAGACCCCCTGTTAATAAGATAAAGGTATAAAAATAACAAACTTTTTAACCTGTAAATAGAATTTTAATGAAGCTAAGTATTTACAAAGAAAAATATACTCTGTCTAATTAAATTATTTACACAGCGGGTGGTTGGTCTCAGACAAATATGATTTCACTCGAGAAAACCAAAATGGTGGATAACGAGCAGAAGGTAAGTCAAAGTCTGTGTTGATTTCAACCCCGTTCCTGCGAGTGAATATAGAATATCCTCGCCATACCAATTGCCCGTGCAACCTCTTCTTATATGTAGCAATCTCCAATTCCTTAAAAAAAGATTTTTCAATCATAAAAGTAATGTTTAATGGAATTTCTTAAACATATTTATTAATCTATATATATAAAAATCAATGTATGTCTGTTTGTCCTTTAAGCATTACTAAATCATTCATCTGATCGCCATGAAACTTTGGAAAGATGTTGTGTACATTCCCGTGAAGGTTTTTGATATAGTAAATCCATCCTATGATAATTTTATGTGTTAAATAAATATCACTATAGACTGTCGCACTAAAATGGCTGTAATGATTTTAACAAAACTTGGCTAAAGACTCTCCCCTGAAATCCTTTTATTTTATGTGTATAACATACTTTTCCGAAAACAAACTGCAAAAAATGTTACAATGAATTCTAAATTTCTAAAGCACGAGAAATGAACACTAAGATAAGTGGTATAGCGCAATTCCCATGCATTGCCACGTTTGATATTTGAAAATCTTTAACATTTAATATATGAAACAGTATCATAAAATATTTTGAACAGCATGTGTTGCTTTTACATCCAACTGATAGTGAGTTTTTAATAAATATATATAGTTTTACTTTTTATTTTATAACAGTAGCTATATAAAACCATGCACATATTTGAATGCAACGTTAAGCCAACATTTCAAGGCAATTGGTGAAGAACTTTACGAGATTTAAGATTTTGAACAAACGAACATTTACATTTCTATTTACCATAAAATAATCAAACAAAGTTCAACATTAAACATTATGAAAATATATGAGTGGCTTTGTATCAAAGACGGATCTCATTTCTTCAGAAAGCAGAGAAAAAGTCAATTTTTGTTTATGGGTTCAATTCAAACTATTTCTGATGATTTTATTTAAGGATATTCAAGTTGAATCATGAAAAAAAATCATTAAAATTAGTTTAAATTGAAGCTCAATTAATTAATTAATGTTAGACAATTTTTTTCTCAACTTTTTAAAAATGACAGATGTCTTTTGATATTAAGTCACTCATATGTACTTTTTATTTTCTTTCTTTTCCATTTTGCAAGATTGAGCCACAGCAGTGTATGGCCAAGTAAAGCTAGTTAGCAATAAATTTAATTACCTATTAAGTAATTGCTTTAAATTTTAATGAAAATAATCACATGACAGCTAAATAAGTTTCTTTTTCACTTTCTTTTCAAAAATATTTGGAATTGCAACCTCTGTATTACTTGCAAGGACCTTATAAGATAATCACCATATGAAAAGTCGGTGACTGGTTGTTGGAATTGCATCTGTTCTTGTACTTGTCTGGACCTGGCATGAGGACGATGGAGACTGTTTTGTCGACCAGCCTATAGTAGCCAACAAAGACAGGAGGGTGCCTAGGTAGAGGAGTCCTCGTTTTCAGAAGACCGACCGAGGATACAGGCTCTTCGGCAGTAGTCAAGCTCAGTACTCGGCCATCGGGGAAAAACCTTATAATTTAAAAATAAGTAAAGATCTCATTCAATAGCCTTACTCGTTGATATAATATCAAGTTACAATAAGTGGAATTACCTCAAATAGCGAAAATACTCGACAAGATGCCACGGCTTGTAGAACTGATCCTGGAAGCTGTTTTCCCCGTGCCTGATGTAAGTGGTCTTGCTGATGTAACAGCCTTCAAAGCATAGCCTCGGGCGATGGATGAACATCTCCCTCCACGACAGGTAAAGGCTACCCACTCCTCCGCATTTCACTCCCCAAATCCTTAACACAGTTATCAAAAACAAACATTTTGTAAGTAGTCGAGGAAGATATGTGACATAACAAACCATTTTAAATCTTTAAAGGCAAAATCTCTCTCCTTGTCAGCAGCACAATATAAGATGACTGATAAGCTTAGCTTCACAGAATAAAAGAATTTAACAAAATTAGTTATAAAAAACTACCCCAATAATTTAAGAGAGATTCAAAATTTTCAAGCTCTAGCAGTCACATCTTAATACTGTAATTGAACAATTGTTGAGGTTGGTGGTGAATGGATGGTTCTGAGAACTGCTGGCAGAGAAGAGATGTAGTGCAAGGTTTATCATGTTATCTGAGAACTGCCGCAGTCTGGCAGCTGTCGGGGAAGGGATTTAAGTACTTTGAGGATCTTGTTACCATTACTTGGAAAGAAGTGAAGGAAGAAAAAGCAAAACATTTAGTGAGTGTCAAGTCTTTGCCTTTGTCCAGGCTGTAGCACATGAATTACTAAAACAAATCCGAGGCATGTATTTTGTTTCATAACAATCATCTAATTTTTAATGAACCTGAAGGTAATGGATGAGTATTAAATAGATCGCAATGAGTAGAGGTCAATGCTTTGCCATCACTCAGCATATTAAATAATTCTTATCAAAATTTACTATTCGATATTAGTTGAGAATAATAAATATTTAATGACGTACAAAATTACTGCGCATCAGAGAAAAGCAAAATTTTCTTTTAATAGCAGTTCTCTACAGATATGGGAGATAAAAATGAAATTTTTCATGAATCCACAATATCAATTGCTCACCAGGAACCAGGAACTCCTTTCAATACCCCACCCCTCTAACATAATACTGTTATATATTAACAGTTTCTCACCCCCCTCCCCTCGCCAAAATTTCTCTATTACAAACATCACTATCTCTATTTAAGACTCACACTCACCTAGTGCAAGCGATACGCCAGATCTCTTGATCCCTAGCGCAAATATAGAAGCCTCTACAGACTCTAGAACACATCTCGAGGGATCTCAGGTCTAGGTCTTTGCTCACAACCCAGCGCAGAATATAGAGAAAGATTTCCATTGGAAGAGCAGATAAATGTGTCATCTAGGACATAATATAAATGCTAAACATTAACAGTTACCTACAAACACAACATGAAATTATATCAATACAAATTTTTATTTGAGGTAATTCTTTTTCTCTGGCTAAGCCACAATCTAACCATTTTATGATACATTTATGTAAGCAGCTATATATGTAAATACCAAATATATTTGATTAATGTATTTTAATAAACTGTCTTCCCACTTAAACAAATAACTTAATAAGCAAATATTAAGGATAAATAAAAAATATGAACATCAACTGAGTTGTTGGTTAGGATAACAACTATGTGTTACCTCGTGGGCTGTTGCTACAATTGCCATATCAACATCTAGTGAGATATTTGATTTTTATTCAACAAACAATTCTAATTCCAAATATAGCTCAATAACTCACCTCTCATCATGGTCCATTCAATTATTGTTCATTTCTTAAGAGGCTAAAAGAATTGATCAATTGGTCTTTTAAAAAACAAATTGAAAAGTTGGTGGTTCCAAATCCTATGATTTAAAAGATGTTTTTTTTTTATTTTAAAGAAATGTTTAATCTATGAAAATAGCGGGATTTTATCAAAATGAACATACAATGTTATATCATTGTTATCGATTTAAATAGTTTTTGATAATAACATGTTCTGTATACATTGTCATGACATGGCTCAAGAAATACAAAGAAGGATCACGGCTGCCAATAGATGTGTCTTTGGACTTGGCCGACACTTAAGAAGTAGGTACCTCTCAAAGAAGACCAAGCTGATCATATACAAGACCCTTGTTCGGCCTGTTTTGACATATGGCTCAGAGGCCTGGGCGATGACCAAAAACGATAAGATGAAGCTGAGTGTGTTTGAGCGAGCAGTCCTCAGAAGGATTTATGGTCCAGTAAAGGAGGGTGATATCTGGAGGAAAAGAAAAAATAGGGAGCTCAGTTCTCTCTATACAGACATCGACGTAGTCACCTATATTAAACTGGCCAGACTAAGGTGGGCAGGGCATGTGGCCAGAATGAGCACCGTTGAAATACCAAAGAAAATAATGATGCGAGGAGCTGCATCTCGTAAGACGGGTAGGAAGGCCGAGGACGAGATGGTTGGACAACGTGGCCTATGATGCGAGAACCCTGCTTGGTGTACAGAACTGGAGAGCTGCAGCAGAAGACAGAGCCAACTGGCGGAGGCCCAGTCTCGGTAACGGGATGTCGTGCCACACATGATGATGATGATGTATACATTGCCACACAATAGCTTGTGGAGACAAACTGAATATATGATCATCGATCGAATAACTGTATACATGATCGTGCAAGTTTTATATCAGCACAAAAGATGAATAATTTCGATCAACGTACAATGAAACATGTATGAAGAAACAAGTCAAAGTAACATGATAATTATTTCGAAGCCCTGCTGAGTAAGTGCCAAAATATGAAAGGGATCATCTAATTCGACATTATAATATTTGACAGCCCCTTAGCCATTTCTACAAATCGTTTGTCACTTATTACAACAATTTTTTAGATCTAACTCAGTTTTGTTATAAATATATGTATACAAGGTATATTTCAACCATATCTTTATTTAAATTCATAACTAACGTAGATACTTTTTCCTTAAAGTTTCTAGCAGTAAACAGCACGCAAAATTTGACTGAAAGGTAAATTAATTAATTAACAAGTCATATTAATTACTTTATAATTAACTATAACAGTGTAAATTGAAGGAATTGGTTGTAAGACAATAAATTAGGAATTTTAAAAATAACGAAAAGTTAAGGAGCAATTAGGCAATTCATGAGGGGAGAGGTGGCTAGACTAGAATAGACTTAACGAGAACTATCTGCTCACATTAGTAGGGTGGAGCGCAGAGCAGAGCTGGATCTTCTTCACCTTGTGGCTCACGAAGAGCAGGTGCGCCAACAGGTCAGATCCTGGTTCGTAGGCCACTTCTTCCTCTTCGATTTCGCTTCCATCAGAATCGTCATGTCCTTCATCTTCACTGGTGACTTCTAGGCATAGAAGAGATAAGATAATTTTCACTCGAATAAAAAAAAATTCTTTAATTATTAAAAAACTTGTGTTTTGTACAATAATTCTGACAATTGGGAGTAATGTTCTAAAATTAGGAGTGGATCAATGTTTTGAAGAATAAAGAAGCACAGATAGAAGTTTTTAATCAGAGCTTCAAAAGAAAAAAAAATTATTTTTATAATGTTTCGGTATCATCAGAATTTTTATTGTCGATAATTTTTCAGTTCTAGAACTTTTTCTTTTGCAACGTTCCAAGTACAGGTTTTACACAACCTGATTTTTTAAAAAATGTATTCAAAAGGTCTGTCGATTTCGCTAAAAAGTTGATCTAAAAAAATATTTTTATTCACAGCTATTCAAACAAACGACACATTGGAATCATATGTAATTCATTTAAGACAAATTATAACTCTAATCTAAGTCCAATTACTGATTATTATTTATTTACCGGAGCTTTTTTCAAGAACTTGAATAATAAAAGTGTTTCATAATAAACACAGTGTTTCAACTGCCTCCCGCAGTACTACATCCTACGCCCTGATGAAGACCTGCAAAGTGGGTCGAATGTCATCAAAAATTAAATATATTTGTTTAATTTAGTATTTATTTGACCGCACCCCTCTCCATCAACTCCTCATATTATATCTATGATCAACCATCTCTACATCATTATGAATAAAAGTTAAACTTTTATTTTAAGAACTTTTTTCTTAAGAAGGTTACAGAAACTGTAAAAATGAAACTTTTTTTCCTAAAAAGGTAAAACAGAAACTGTTAAAATAAACTTTTTAAAACAGTTGCATAACAGTTTCAAGAAGCTAGTTTTAATTAATTAATTCCTAGATTTTCAAAATTGTTCAACTTCCCACAAGACATGAAAAATCAGCAAAAGTGTTTTAATTTAGTTCAGAGGGAATAGAACCAGTAATATCCTTTTCCACTGCTTTACAAAACTAAAACTATGATAATAAATATTAATAACAGGTGATTTCAATAAAAACTGTAATGTTTATGGCTGATTGGAAAGATAAAGGATGCGTAGTAATAAACTTAACTTTTATGATGGAGGTGCGAGTCCATTAATTTATGCGTTTTAGGATCCTTTCAGCATAAAAAAAATGTGATATTCAATGGAATTTTTTAATTCTATCATAATCATTAATTCCATTAGTGAATATTGAAGCAATATGAATATAATCATCACATGTCACTTGAAGATAATATTTTTCTCATTCTTTAAAAATAATATTTAATGACTAGATAAAGCCTTATCACACATTAAAATAAAACATTGTAGTCATCTAATAGATATAAGTGGATATGGATTTGTTCCTTCTTTAAACCAATTTTAAACGGAGCCAAGATTAAAAATTAATTAATTGTATCGCTTACTACTTGCTATAACACCAGAAAATGTAGGTAGCAGAAACTTTTAACTAATGCAAAAATTTGAAAAAATCTGATGCACGCATCACTCAACTTCGATGAAGTTTCACTTGGAATATTATTCTTATTGCTAATAAATGAGTCAATCAATCATCAAGGATGTATAGATAATTAAGCTGATACCGATATTCCAAAGACCAGTGTAAATAAGAATGACCTTTTTTTTTTGTCCTCACCTCAGAGTTTCCGGGCTTGAGGTCGGGGGACTAATGTATGAGTTAAAAGACACCCTGGCACTGGGACGCAAACTCATTATTATTTTATCCATTTATCTTTCATCAGGTTGTCGGGCAACGCAGCCTTTTTCGCTACTCCCCCTCCACATAAGAATAAATCCAGAATCAAAAGGTCAATATATCAGTCCTAAGTATATCGGTGGATCCCTATACCACTAATTGACACATTTATCAGTAAGAGACAGAATTTTTGATGAGAAACATTACTAACCTAGATAGAAGCCTGAAAGGGTGATGTATTTGTTTTTTAAATATTGGTATCGGCTAAAATTTATACATAGGTCTAACCCTCGATTATTTATTAACACTTTCATTTGGCTATTAAGAGAATGTTTTAAGTGACACCATATGGAATTTGACGGATGGGTAGGAAAGGGCATTATTCTGATATATAGGTTTATCGCTCTTTTATCGGCAAAAATTGTTGAATAGGCCTATGGCCTATATGGTTTATTTATTTCTTAATAGCAATAAGTAGGATATTTAATGTGAAACTGTTGTTACCGGTTTGTAACTTAATAGGAAGGGAAAGAAAGGCCAATATGGACGCTATATCTGCCTTTGAAATATCGGATTTGGCCAAAATTTCTATTTCAGTGTATCCCTACTTACTTACTTACTACTATTACTATGAATTATTTTCTAGCAAAGTTTGAACCACATAATTCCAGTCTCTGAATGGGCGTAATAATCCTACAATCTATACCTCTAAAACTCCTCCCCTCCCCTATCCAATCTCTGAGTTATTTGGATTCAGGGAATCTCAAAACAGACATTTCCATTTAAAACTCAGATTAAAAAATGTTCACGATCACAATACTTTCCATTACTATATATTGCATAACAATTCACTCACTTATCCCCTACCCCCCAATAAACAATTAACAAACAAACAACTCCAAACTAACTCCAAAACAAACATATCCACACCCCCACCAACAACAATTTACACTCAACCCCCCCATACACCAAATATATACCAACAAACTTTACACATATCAATCCCAAATCCCACCCCCCCCCCCCTCAAATAATACAATCCCACTCACCTCCTCTCACTTCCCATATTTACCACCTAATCTCACTCACATAATCATATATACACCCAATCTAAACAAAAAACAAACAAACACCCATATGATAGAAACCCACACAATAAACCCACCACTCCTCCCCCTGACATGCCCTTTCCCCCCCCCTTCTCACCCCCCACATAATAGAGATCCCCCCCCCTCCCCCCCCTCCTCTCAAACATTTGTAAACCAATCAATCTCAAAACTCAATGTAGTAGATCCGAGAAATGTTACTCTCACATGCACTCTCCTTTGAGAACTCTGCTCGCGCACACACCTCGCTCATGTTCATGTGTGTAAGTTAAACTCCGACCTTGCTCGGATCCCGACACAGCATGTTTGAGAGTGTACATTTTTTATTTTACTTAGATGACATAGCCCCTTGTGTTGGCTTTTACCTTCAGCCTTTGCCCTTGGCTCGCGTCCACTTTATATAGTATCTGAGACAGATAGCTCACCTACCCCCTCCTATGCTGATAGACGCTTATTCCACCGTATGACGCCTTGACATTGCCTGTGTGTATGAGATTTTGCGCCACTCACTCGCGCTCTCGCTCACGCTTACTCTCATGACCGTGTATATCCCCATATTGTGTTCACGCATACACCTCATATACAGCCGTATGTAGCCAGGAATATACATCAGAAAATTTCATTACATTTTATATATTTATTGTTTTAAAAAATAATCTTCAGAGGAATATAATTTGAAAATTCATGCAAATATCTCACTGAGGATCCAAATAAAATTTAATCATCGTAAATGTATTTCATCAATTTATGGAGAAAAAAAAAACACCTTCAAATAAGGATTTTAGTTTAAGCCCAACATTTATGCTTCTGATACAACCTTATCTACCCTAATCTTTATCTTTCCTTAATCCAGATATATTCTAATATGACTAAAATTTGATGATTCTACTTCATAACTGTAATATTCAAAATACATCATCTGATAAGGCAGTAATACTTACATATTCCAATTAATTAGGAATATTTAAACAAGGATAATAATAATATTTAAAAAAGGATAATAATACTATTTAGAAGGATTATGGTTTACATTTATCATCAAACAGCAATTAATTAAATAATTTGCTAACAATTAAATTTAAAATTTAATTTTTAAAGGTATATTGGATCCGCAAGAAACCAAACCTCAATTATTCAGATAAGACCAGATTTTCTTGACCAAGATTTATAAAAAAGGATAATAATACTATTTAGAAGGATTATGGTTTACATTTATCATCAAACAGCAATTAATTAAATAATTTGCTAACAATTAAATTTAAAATTTAATTTTTAAAGGTATATTGGATCCGCAAGAAACCAAACCCCAATTATTCAGATTTTCTTGACCAAGATTTATAAGTATCATCAAGTGTTCAATATAACATAGATAAGTTTTTTTTCTCTTGTGGGTCCAAGTCCTATACTGCCCCAATATAATTAATTATTTAATTAACTTATGGCAAATGATGCTGGTGTTCATCATGAAAGAATTTTTTATAGCTGTGGCCCAAGGCCAGAAGTAAATTTACACCTCTATGAAGCATTCCAATTGTATGACACAGAATATACTATATTATATCATCCTCTTCAAATGATAAGGATTCAACTGAAATGTAATAATGGTAACATATATCTGAAAAACCTACATACACGTTTAAACTGTTCTAGATTGATTCAGGTTGTTAATAAAATGTATACCACACAATATAATATTAAAGATAAATATGAGATGATCAGTTTTAATTACCGGAGTGAGGTGTAGACTGTTCGAACATTCTCAGCTCAATGTCAGGAACAAGCTGCACAGCCCTGCGGTAGAATTGTATTGCTTCATACAATTTTCCTTTGTTTTCATATTCGATACCCATTTGGAAAAAGGTTTTTGCCTAAAATTGATAAACTATTAAAACATTCCCCTTTAAAATGCTTTAAATAAATTCAAGGTTAGGTTTTATAATGCTTTTATCAAGTCGTCAAATAATGTTAACTATGAAATTTATAACTGCTTCGTCGGTCAATATCAAATAATTTACCTTGTCTTCGATGTTGTTTGGTATTGGATCAGGAATCACAGTCTTCACATTATTCGAATGCTTAGGAGATTTCTCCAATTCTCTTCTCCATTCATTACGAAATTCTTCAAGAGCATTCGATGTTCCTGTCTAGACGTAAAGAATTAGAGAGTTAATGGACCGGGGTCACTTGAGGTAAAATACAGTTAATGAAACAGGCTACTTACCCTGAGACGGGAAGAAGACTCATCCTGTTCCTCGCTCTCGGCCTCTCCTGGTCCTTCGCCACCATGCCCACTCGCCCTATCCTACATCAGTCGACAGATACAGGTGGTAGAAGGCACATGCTTAATCTTAGATAACAGTACTCTTAAGATTTTACACTATGATTTGATAGATTATAGATGATCGCCTTATTTGACCAAAAGAAAATAGCTGACTTGACACATCACCAAGTGAAAGTACCAAGTAATAAAAATGGTGGGAAAACATCCAGAAATAGAAACTTACCATTGTTATAGTATAAATCCAGGTCAATGCACAACTTTAAATTTCGGAATCTCGGTCGGAAAACCTTAAAATAATTTCACCAAGCCTTAAGCAAACATAGACGGCAGCCATGTTGGTGGCCATTTAATTGAAGAAATATGCCAAAGTCCATTCGAAAACAACAACAAGCAGTGATGCCACCTCACCAGGACTATCCTTCCCCGGCTCCGTACAAATAGAACTACCTATTGTCTCGCTGTATTTTATAGACCATTAAAGCTCTCTTTAATAATCTTAAAAAGTTATTTTAAAATTATATCCCCTTCAGACCAATGGATGGTTTGCTTTAAATAAATAACTGTTTGATCATTATGTCGTTGTCATTTATCATTCTATTTTAGAGAACATGAAGGTAAAAAGAACTACAGGATTATTTTATAAGTGTAATAAATGAAAGCAAGTTAGTGATTCATGATCAGAGAACAGCTCCTATTCTTACAGAACGTTCGCGAGCAATAATCGCCAACTCATTGACTTGCTGTAGCCTTTAATCTAGAGATAAGCGATAGTCGATAATTTTTCACGATCGATAGTTTGATATTATAGATAATCAATAAATGGTATCGATAGTTTAGTAATTTGCCAACACAGACATTAAGAGGATTTATTTTAGCTGTGTTTTAGTTATTTATTATAAATAACTAGAAAAATAAAATAAATAAGGGAAATTTGTATGTCTATTCTAATTTCCCTGATTCTAACTTTCTAAATTTAATTTGATAATTGCACCTGGTTTAAGATATATTAAAACTGTAATAGTATCCTTGTAGATTTTATAAATATATTTTTTTTTTATGAAAAGTAGGGTTTCTTTTCCATCGGCACAACTGGAGTTGTAAAAATATTTCTAAGAAAGTAAATTCAGGTTGAATTATTTTTTTCATTGAAGGCTTCTCCTTGTTCAATTTAGTATCAGTTTTATATTTTGATAAGAATAGTTTTAAACAAGCCTTCTTCTTAATCACACTTCTATCCATTTATTTTCTTAGTGTGTTGTTTCCATTATTCAATAACTGTTTTCCATCAAAACATTTAACTTTTACTTTATTATATTATCATTATATCTCCTATATCAATAAATGGGTAGCAGTGTGAAGGCTTATTAATAAAATTATTTGTTTAAGTATATAAATTTTTTTAAAAATATGTGCCTAAAGAGAGGATAGGGACTATCGATAGTCACTAGGACTATCCACAGTTTTAAACTATTGATAAATCTATAGTACTATCGACTATCGTCCTACAGCGACAATAATAATTATTAAATCACTGTATATCTTCCGAAGATATGTAAGAAGAATATTTTCATGCTTTTTAGAGCTGTGGCCTCAATTTACTGTCTTCTTATAGATACATACATATTACCCATTTCCTATGTGTAAACACACTCTTATACACCGACCTATAATTAAAATATTAACTTGTGCCTTTGTTTATTTTAATATAAAGACACAATAGCAATATAATTCAATTAAAAACATGAAGATGATTAACTTGTATTCCAGACAAATGTCACTAAATTGTTCCTTATAATTATTCTTAGGAGGCTGAATATCCCAGAAAAAAGAATAAAATTTACTTTTTCATTATATCACCCATCTCTATGTTGGTCTCTTATAGCGGATTTTGGAACTATTATTACCTTTTTTATATTTATTAGAAGGTGGTATACATTTTTTTTTAGATTTTAATACTATTATTCGAAATGTTTATTCAATAGTGCAAATACCTTCAATCAGTTACAGAAACAATTATTCCAACAAACTTCTAAACGATTTCTAAAATTGTAATTTTCTCATTAATTTTACCACACACCCTACCAATTCCTTCTCAAACAAATAATAATAGATGAATTGACAATCTTCTGTTATAATCATATTTATTATTTACAAAATAATATTTAAATAAAATATTTTTTAACCTAATTTGAAAGAAGTCTCACTGAACTTTTACTGGGCTCAATGCTGTTTTATACAACATTACATTGTAAAAAAGTCTTTTATATACATTAACAAAGTATTTATGTGTAGTAAGTATTTATTTACAAAGAATTTATAATTCTAAAACTTATCTAATATAACAATTTAATTATAATGAAACAAGAACTCATATATATATTTTTTATAGATATTTAGCTGGTTTCTACCAACTTCTTGAAGAAAATGCTTAGAAATGATAAACTACCCTCTGATTGGAGATATCTTAGAAAACAAATGGCATAAATGCGAATGAGATCATTAACAAACACTTCATAAATGAAATTAGATATTCTGCCATCAAAATTTTCTTCAGTTGAATCCACATCAGAAAAATTAATACTTTCAAGACTCCAAATTGGAGGCATGCAGTCTTCACCTGTGTATATTTAACCAGAGGCCTGGAACCACTACTCAGAGAAACAAGCTACACACCTCCAACACCAGAATGAGACTGTATACTTCCCAATATGGCTAAAGAACTTGAAGATAATGAAAACAGAATCAAAACAATATTTCATATAATGTGAGGCATTAAAATTTTCCATGTTTATTGTTGAGATTTTTCATCAGATTTAATTATTCTGTTCATTATTGTAATTATTCTAGTAATTAAATTTTTGTTATCATTATAGGAACTATTGATGTAATTTTTTTTTTTGTATTTTAGAGATGGATATATAGTTGACTGTTAAAACTGTAAGGATAAAAACTAGTCAGGATGTGCAGTCAAAAATGCATTTATTGATTTTCAACAACCTAGGTTTCAACCAAAACGTGTGGGTCATCATCAGGACCATGATATGAAGGCCGGACAAGAACTCTCCAATGTGGACAAGAACTTTCCTTTTTAATTTTTGTAATCATTATTATAATTATTCCTGTCATTTAATTCCTGTAATCATTAGATCATTATTGTAATAATTTAATTATCGATATTTAATTAGTATGTTATTTAATACTTGTAATTATTATAAAATAAATAAAGAATATTTTAATAAGTGGTATTTCAATTTGAATCAATATTGTCAGGTGATGCAATCCTTTTTCAGTAAAACATTTAAAGGTGTTTCATACAAGAGTTGAAAATAAAGGAGCTTATCTATCCCAAAATTTAAAATTGGCGAATCTTATATTCACTTATTTGGAGATGTATTTTGTATGTATTATTCTTATTTCCACTTGATTTTCAAGGTTGTGTAGTAATTTCATGAATAATTTAAATTCTTTTATCATAATAAAAGAAAAAGAAAAAAAAAACATTTCCTATATATTTTTGGCTCTTATATTCACATTTGAGTGTTTCTGTACAGAAATTACAAGATTTGATGTATTTTGTTTCAAATAAATGTATTTTTAAAAATTCTATTTTTCTTCTTTAAATCCTGAGGAATTACTTGAGCCAAATCCCTCTTTTCCTTTCTGTAAAAAGAGTGAATTCATCAAATTTTAGTTTCTTAACAAGCTACCAATTTGTAAATAAGGAATCATAACTTCAGGTTCTCTCATATAAGAATGACAAAAACATCATATTCCTTGAAAAATGTTTTTTTTTAAGTAGTCTATTGTTTGAAATCATCCTTTTTACAGAACAAGATATAGGACGATGTGAAAAAAAAAATAAAGATAGCAGCACTATCCAGTGAACCACCGAAGGGAACCCGGAACTCGTACGTAGTTCTTAAAACCGCCGCAAGAGGCCAGCATCATCCAACAACCAATAAGAAATCGTAGTTCTAGAAGCTCCCGCTAGATAGAAGCACTACAAAGGCTCCTGGTCGATTCGAAAAGAGAGCTCCTGCAACTTCCCACTATCCTAATACAAATCGAAGAGTTTCTCGCTAGAAATTCGAATAAAATTCGTAGTTCATATGTTCTGTCAACAGATAGCAGCACAACTAGAACTGCTGGCCGACTCGAAAAGTGAGCTCTTTTATCTTCCTGCTACCCTGATACAAATAGACCAGTTTTTCGCTAGAAATTCGAATAAAATTCGTATTTCAAATGTTCTGCCAACAGATGGTAGCACTATCGGTATTAGAATTGCCTCGAAAAATGAGCTCCTGTTATTTTCTTCCCTCCTAATACAAAATAAAGATTTTCAGCTCGAAATTCGTGCGTCAGACGATTCTGGAACGATTTTTTTTTTTTTGTTTTTATTGTTTATTCATGCTGGAAATTGATCAGAATATTTAAAAATACGTTCGAAAAAGTTAAAATAATTCCTCTTTATCTTATTTCACGCTAAATCTTCAAATTATCACCATTTCATAAATTTGATATGGCGAAATGAGAAAAAAGAGAAAGCATTTTGAATTTTTCAAACAATTCTAAAAAATTTTGATCGATTCCCAGCATGAAATAAACTAGGTTCTTTTATCAAATTTATGAAATGGTGATAATTTGAAGATTCTAGCGAAAAACTGGTCTATTTGTATCAGGGTAGCAGGAAGATAAAAGAGCTCACTTTTCGAGTCGGCCAGCAGTTCTAGTTGTGCTGCTATCTGTTGACAGAACATATGAACTACGAATTTTATTCGAATTTCTAGCGAGAAACTCTTCGATTTGTATTAGGATAGTGGGAAGTTGCAGGAGCTCTCTTTTCGAATCGACCAGGAGCCTTTGTAGTGCTTCTATCTAGCGGGAGCTTCTAGAACTACGATTTCTTATTGGTTGTTGGATGATGCTGGCCTCTTGCGGCGGTTTTAAGAACTACGTTCGAGTTCCGTGTTCCCTTCGGTGGTTCACTGGATAGTGCTGCTATCTTTCAACAGTTTTTTTAACTAAGTGCCGTTTTCGCCTTCCCTGTATGATGCTAACCTCTTTTAATGGATTTTAGAACTAGTATTTCATTTTGTATGTTTAATGGATGGTGCTGCTCTCTTTTATTGGGTTTGAAAACTATTATTGAAACGTTTAGTTCGATAGTGCTTATAACTTTATATCGTCATGGAGATTATTATTAAAAATTCGTTTAAACTTATAAACGATCAATAAAATTTGTTGCTTTCATTTTGTTATATTATTTAAATGTAAATTTATTTAATTCTTATCGTGACAGAGCTCCACAACCTTCCATAATCTGTTAATAAGTTAAAATTGCCTGTAGTTAATTCTATGAAATGTTTTCTCTCTGAACTATATTGTCGGTCTAAGTTATTGTCTGATTCTTTTATGTTTCAAACAATAAATTATTTCATAATGTTTTTTTCATTAGAAATTACAGAATTTAGTTTAAAGTGTTACAGAAGTGTAAGGAGTGAGTGAAGTGGAGTTTTGAATGCATCTATTGACATCGACTGTGAACTTTATTTATAAATATTATCGATATATAGTAATTTTATTATATATATATATATATATATATATATATATATATATATGGTTAAACATAATACAAGAATACAAATATATACGTTTCTGTGAAGAGTTGTTTTTAGTTTACCCTATTATTTCTTTATAATCAAACACTAATGCTCATTTATGTATGTATTATTCACTACAGATATATATCATCTGAATGTATATCTAATTTAAAGTAAAACTGTTTTCAGGATTTAATTTTGGGGAGGGGGGCTTCAGCCAGAAAGCTTTTTTTTTTCATATATATAACAATAACTAGTTTGTGAAAAAAAAGAAAGATACTCGATACCACATATATGAAATGGTGTTTAAGTGATTCTTGAAGTCCTAATAAATGAGATTACACGAACAATAACACTTTAAGAGATAATTTTTTACCATAAAACATGGTTACATTTGACCATTTTGGGGGAGGGGACTTCAGCCCGAAAGTCCCCCCTCCCGTAGATCCGCCTGTGGTTCTCTGTGAACAATTATTTTCCAAAGCAGGAAAATAATAACGCTCAGTGAGCGCCGATCCCGATTACCGCCTTACAAGGCCAAGATGTTATTTTTTATAAATTCTAACCATTATGTTTAATTCCTAATTTATTTTTATTCTTATTAATAATTGTTTATTAGAAATTTTCAATAATTTTGCTACTTTTAAGGAATATATTATTTGTCAACTAGAATAAAACGTAATTTTATGCCTTTACTAAAAGTCCGTGGTATAGACCCCTTTTTATCA